ACACAATTTTATTAGAAACGTAAGTTAAATTGACAGATCATGTAGAATAACTTGCCATTATGGACCACTGACTTAAAAAAATTCCTACCCAGTCTTATTTATCGGGGCCAGATCATGTTTAAGTAGGACTAGAAACTGCCTCCAGTGAACTGATGTACATTATACAGGCATCAGAACAGTCAGTCCAGTTCATTGGATTTGTCTTGTATTTGGTGTTGGTTATAGTAGCTACAGTTCAGGGTCCAAGGAAGCTGATCTGCTTTTGTCTGAAGATCAGCTAAAAGTTTCAAGTCCTGTCTTAAAAGGACCATAAAAATCATGTTTTGGAAAATGAAAAATATTCACTTAGCCAATCTTGTTTTTCCACTTGTACTTAAGCACTATTTACTGTTTTTGCACAGCTGAACATCTAGCATTTGTGTTCTCCAATTTGGGGCATTCTGTGAACAATAAACATAATTAACTATGTGTCGAATTTATGACTACTACATCCTGAGTATTTAGGGCCAGCCTCACCATGCAGTAAGATGTGGTTTACTGATCTCGAGTAGCATTTATGCATGTGCATATCCACCTGCACAAAAAAAAAAGAACAAGTACAGCAATACATTTCAAAATGCTGTCCCGTGGTATGTGTTGGGGGAGAGTACTGTAGTTGGATTCTTAGACATAATCACTAGATTTAAAGGCTCTTTAAATAAGATATGCTTGTATATGCCTTCAGAAGTTTTCATCATGTTTTATAAAAATGGTAAAATGGTTTGAAATAGGAAGCCATTGTGAATACGGAGAAAACATAGCTTGAAAATAGTAATTCAATGGTTCAGCACTGCATATAGGGATGATAATAATTATAGATCACCTAAGAATAAATAGAAAGTAGAGCTATGAGGAAAATGTCATGTACATGCTTTGTAAAGTAGCATATGTATATGGCATTAGATGAAACAGTTGTATAGTCTTTAATTATTTGAAGAAAGATATCGTACTCATGTTCCCTCATGGCATTTGTATGCTTTTACACTATACTATTGAAAAACAAGTTGCTATTAGAAGTATTGGTATTGAATATTTAGAGTATTGAATAAAAAATGTAAGTATGACATCAGAGAAAATTAGTAGAATTTTCTACTAATTTAGATTAGTAGTTTTAAAGGAAGAGAATTTGACTTTCCAGCTCCAGAATTTGCAAAAAAAAGGTGAACAGAGACATTGCGTCAGATGTGTATTATCTAGTATCGTTTTGAATGAAGGCCAAATGTTCTTTAATTTATTGTATATAACCTATATACTTGTGGATAAGCCCATCTACGAATAAGCTAAATCCAATATTGAGGTGTGTTTTGGGACTCAAAATAATTACTGTATACAATACCTAATTGGTAATTATCAGAAAAAGTTATATAGCCATTAAACTGTGATATATAACAAAATTTAAAGTGAAAATAGACCTGAAAAATTGTATTAAAAACTGACCAAATTGCTCAAAAGTCCTCTGCAGAGATTGACAGATAAACACACTGACAATCTTGTTGCAACTAAAGAAGTTTTCATTCCAGAATTATATGTCTCGCAATGCCTTCATAATTTGTGTCCAATTGTTAAGTCATGAACAGTTTTGAGTTTCAGTCAAAAATCTAGCAGTAGACTTTGTTGGAAAATATGTTGAAATGTATCTCCATTAACAAGACAATTGGCAGCTGATTTTTACTAAATATTTAAAATATTAAGTACTTTTTTGCTATTAAAAGTAAAGTCATATCTTAAAATGGTCTTTGTTGATTTACAAAAACAAGATATATAACCTCATCCCAAAAGTTATTTATTTTGTCTAGTTCATCAACTCCATCATATAGTGATGTGTAGTGAAGTGGCTCTGAAAAGTTCAATAAAATCAGGAAAAGAGCAGCAAAAAATGTTAATTTGAACAGGATGCAGGAGGAGTCCCAGACTGTCAGCCAATCACACATGCATATAGCAGAATTATTGTGTAGTATTGCACATAGACCTGGGTTGTATCTTCCTAATTTTTTGCAATAAAATTATTTACCTAATTATGTGTTTGCTTGGGAATGTGATGGTAGCAGGAAGTTGGAGTCTGAATTGATATTTCAAATATTTAACATAGAGCTTGAAAGCTGCAATAGCATCAGTATTAACACATTTTTATATAAATTGTCAATAATAGCCTATAATGTAAATAAATTCAATAGGTCAATTTATTGTCTAAACAAGTTACCCATTATGCGAGTCTTTGATGTCTAAAAGGATCAACATCGCACGTACCATAATTTCAATATGTGAGGGGTCTTTGGTGCTCTCTGAGTTAAGTTTTCTTGCAGACATTACTCACTAGGTAACATCAGAACTAAAAAGGAGAGGTTTTTGCTCACTCCTCATTGAGGAGAGCACTCCTTTCTAGTACTCATGATGTTACCTAGTTTAGGTAATGAAATGTCTGCAAGAAAACAACTAAGCTCAGAGAATACCAAGGACCCCTCATTTCAACCTTGAGCTACAAGTATTCTCCTTGGTTTTCAAGATGTATCTTGTACTATTAAATGAAGAACAGAAAATAAGGGTAAACAATCATTTTTTTTAACAATTCAAACATCCCAAGTATTTTACAATTCATAAGGCCAAGTCTCTTGAAATGAGCATACATGTTTTCTGTATTTAGCATAATTTTCAATGTTAAAACATGAAAATGTTAAAGCATACAAAAATAGGGGAGTTTTTTTTTATATATATATATATTTTATTATGTTTTCATTCTATACAATCACATATTCACTG